ATTGAGTGTTTTTTCCATTTCACAAATTCCTATAAAGTGTAAACCATAATATAGCAGAGTTAAGTTGATCAAAACAAATGCAGGGCATTACACATTTGGGTGGGCGTACACGGCTATGTATGAAAGAAGAAAGAAAAGGTCAGTTTTACACTCAAAATCTGTCAAAACGACGTCGTTTTGACAGATTTGAGCCATTTGAGCCACAAAAATTTGAGCTACCTAGCATTGTTGCTAAAATAATTGTGTTTGGAAAGATAATTAATTTGATGGTTGTAAGAGAAAAAATAAAATAATTATAGATTAAATGTGATATTTTATTTTATTAATTATTTTAATTTGTTTTATCTTCATTAATTATTTTAGCTAAAAAAATAACTTAGCAAACAGGGCCACTATTAATTAACATTGGCTTATTTTGACAAGTAGTTTTTTTTTTTTTTTGGATTGATTAAATTTTGAAAAGTAAGTTAAAAGTTATTTGTTTAATTTTTTTTTTTGACTTTTTAAAAAAAATATGAAAAAAAAGTAATATAATCTAAAAAGTCATAAAAAAAAAGAAAAAAAAAAAAGAACTAACTTTTCACCACCATTCCAAAATTAGCCATTTATAAAACGAAACTATGTCGGATCATAATTGCTTTGTCCTTTTTTCCGTAGACAAGCCACGCGTACCCGCCATTCTTTGTCCTAAGTCGGTGGCACAATGGCACGGTCATCATTGGGCCATTGGCCCACCAGGCTCATGCGGCCTGGCCTGAATGAGGGTTGGAGTGGGTTTGGGCGTGAGCTTAGAAATAGTATTTGACCCGTTAATCCGTGACAGATGGTCCATCGGCCCATCAATAAACCCGGCCCAGGTCCAGCCCGTGAACGCTGCCAATAATATAAAGGAAGAATTACGAAAAAAAAAACATTCTAGAATTTGATGCTTGTAACAAATTAAAACCTAAGTTTTAAATTTTATCAATTTAAATCTTAATTTTTTGATTTATTTTTAATTTAAATTATTTACATATTTTTATTAAGTAAAATTGACAAAAAAATAAAAATGCCTAAAATATCATTTTTACATCAATTTTATTTAACAAATATAAATAAATAATTTAATTAAAAAAATTAAAAAATTTAAATTTAAATTGATGAAATTAAAAATTTAGACTTTATTTTATTATAAGACTCAAATTTTAGTGTTTTTTATTTTTAATAATTTCTCCAATAATTTTTTTAAGACTCAAAGTGAAACAATACCAAAATTTAAAAGTGGATAAAGTGTAATTTAATTTACTGGGCTTTCACTTTGAATCAACAAAAAAATATAATTTATCATTAACTTGATGACAAGGGAAGACTTACAAAGGGCTCCTAGGCTCATGAGCTGATTTTCCCAAGACTAAAAATTAGGAAAATTGATGAAATATTTTTCTCTAATTTTAAGGGGGAGGAGAGATTGAATATATTATTTTTATTAGTTAAGATTTTTCGATGAATTTTTTTTGTAAAAATTAAAATTTCTCTATAATGGGATAAAATTTTTCTATGTCAAATATTCTCTGTAAAAATATTGAGGGACCAACTATTATGAAAATATTGTGTATTCTTTATCTAATAAAATTTTAATATCAGGTACCTTAACGCTGTGTTTGGTTAGAGAATTTGGAAATGATTTGGATTTGGAAAGATAAGGAAAAGGAAAAATGTAGATAAAATGTAAATAAACAATACTTACATTTCATCTAATTTTACACACTTTTTTTATTTTTTCTTTTCAAATCTCTCTCCAAATTTTCCAATCAAATACAGGCTAAAAAAAATCCCGGTAAAAATTTGGTAGTGTTGTACGTTGTTGCCTGAGTATTTTTTATGTAATCCAATCGTACAATTTCATCGATGCAACAGAAGCTAACCGGCAAAATAATAATAATTATTATAAAATAAAAGAGCAATGATTCATACCCTCTTAAAAGTTCTACCCCCACCACCCCCCACACACGTGGGGGTTGGGGATTGGGAGATCAGAAAAAAAAAAAGAAAAGAAAAGTTAACCAATCAAATGCAAAGGGGGTGAAGGGGGTGACCCCCAAAGGGGGTCTCAACCTTTATTGAAAATAAAATTATCAAAATAATAGAAACGAAGTAGAAACGAAGAAAATCTGCACTTGGTTAAAGGAATTACTGGTATATATATATATATTTGATATACAAATATATATAGTTATCGTTTAGGATAAAAGGCTATTTTAATCCTTAAAATATGTCTTATTTTTATTTTAGTTCATTAAATTTCAATTTTATTATTTTGGTCTTTAAAATTATCAATTTAAGTCAATTTGATCCTAAATATAACGTCTATCTACATTGATAACATAAATATGTACAAAAGACAATTTTCGTCCCTAAATTTCTTATCATTTTAGTCTCTTAAATTTTAAATTTTGTCGTTCTAAAATTTTAGAACTCTATCTGAGGCAGAAATACCACAAGCTCTAATTTGCTCCAAGTTGAAGATAAGATGATGGACTGAATAATGAACACCTTTTGGAGATATGACTACTTTAGGTCTAGGTTAAAATAGGATCATGAAACGCATACTTTAAAAATTAAAATTGTCTTTTATCTAAAGATAAAATACTTCTCATATTATCAATATAAACAGACATTAGAGATATGACCAAAGTTTTGTGAATTCGGGAGTATGAATTGCAATACCTAGTTGAGAGTTTGGTTTGAGCTTTTGTAGACTCTGCATGACACAATCCTATTACGACTCTAACTCTGTCTGCCACTGATAATACCGAGCAACACGGACTTTCGCCATAGGCTTACACGGCGTACCACTATGATAACATAGCACGGCCCATTACATAGCTTGATTGGAACCTCATTCCTAGTTCCGTTTGATTGTCTTCCGCTCTAGCTCAATCAATGCTCGATCGCCATTAAGAAGTAGCTGGGCTTTTATTAATTCGGTCAACTGTCTTTGACCGGTCTATCCTTTGTTCGGTCCAACACCAAGTTAGTTCTTGGATTTAGCTCTACCCAAGTTACAAAGGGCTTGTTTAGTTTGTTTTTAGGAGAGTTGTTTTTGAAAAAATTTCCAAAATTTTGTTCGGTTTGTGATTTTTTTCAAAAAAATTTCAAAATCACTTTCTCTCTCTTGCACATCAATCAATCACTTTTTCTCTCTCC